AAAGATATCCAGAACTATTTATACAGCTGGGACACGTACCAGTGGAATGTTTCCTCCTACCAAAAACACCTTACCCCTTCCATGTTGTTCTTTTCTTGGAGAGTTCTTAATAACCTACTTCCTACTGATGATATTCTGAAATTAAAAGTCCTGAAAGGTCCTTCTAGATGCCACCTATGCAAGCTTGATCAGGACTCAAGGGATCATTTATTCTTCAGGTGCAATTTTGCTAAGGAGGTTTGGAATAGATTGACTTCCCAAATGACTATCAACATGATAAACATTGGTTGGGATAACTTTACAGATTGTATTAAACATTGGAAAGAGATTAATCTCATGCCAATCCCCTTCATTGTTTCTTGGTTCATTTGGATGGCTAGAAACATGGCCAAACATGAGGTGAGGGTGGCCAGTGCTACAAGGGTGATGATAAATTGGAGGAAGTTCCCCAAGATCCTGCAGACCATAACTTACATGGGTGCTAATAATATTAAGATCATCAAGGTTAGATGGGAGATACCTCCTTACCCTTTCATTAAAATCAATACTGATGGAAGCTACACAAAGAAGAGAGCAGGTATTTGGGGAATTTTTAGAGATCACACAGAGCATATTTTGCTGTTCTATAAGGCCCCTTATATTGCTGAAGATGCTTTAGACACTGAAGCTGCTGCCTTATATTGGGCATTAAAATTTGCTAAGGAGAATAAGTGGCAGTGGATTGTTGCAGAAGTGGACTCCTCCCTGCTAGTGGAGCTACTAAATTTTAAGATGTCTTCCTCTTGGCATATTAATCAATGGCTTCACATAATTAAAAAGCTCAGCATTGGAAGTAATATTCACTTCTCATTTGTGAGACCTGCAAATTTCCTCGCTATGGAGGGTGCTAATGCTGAACATCCTGAGGTATCCACAATCCTCTCCCCCCTCAACTTACTAACTCAAGGGACAAACTTCAAATCCCTTACCTAAGAGTGCATAAATGATTGCTGGGACATTGTTTGAGGCCATGATTAGTCCTGCTTTGCTACTGAGGCTGTGTTGTTTGTTTGTTACTGGGTGTTCAGATGTTTTGTTTTGTTTGGGGGCTGATTTGTATTTTCTGATTTTTTTTCAGACTGTGTTGTTGGAAAATATATATACATAGGTGTATGTATATATCTTCTCCTTCCTGTCTTGGGTGTTTTTTGGTGGTTGGTTCATCCCTTATGAGTGAGTAACCTTGTATTTTATTTTCTAGATTGGGGACTTCCCAACCAACCTTTTTTTGTAATTTCACCCATTTTAACATGTAGGGAGCTGACTCATGCTCCTTCTACCAAAAAAACAATATATGTTGCCTCCCATAAAGCTTTCTGTTTAACATCGTCAACCCGACATACCATTTGTTTTGTTGGGCTGACTTAACATTAAAATTTTTTTAAATTGTGGTAAGAGCCCTTCAAAATAATAATTTAATTGATGCCCATTAACTTTATATATCTTTCAAGTGTTAGGATCTTTAATAACAATAGTTTTATAATGAAAGACTTTAATCACTTTAAATAGTCATAACAATCTGGATTTTAATTTTATTTGAAATATTATCAATCTTGTATTATATAATAAAAATTCTTATCCAGTTCCAAATTTATTTTGAAAAATCTTTCAATCATGACATATTTTTTTTTCTCTTTATAGATTTTTGCATTAACATATTCTTTATTTCTAATCTCCTCAAGTTTATTGAGTTGCAATAATCTTTTTTCACCAGTATCCTTTAAATTAAAATTAATTTTCTTACTAGCCCAAAATGCTTTATGCCCCAATTCTATTAGTAAATGACATGTTTTTTTCCAAAAATAAGTCTGTATGGGGACATTCCTATAGGAGTCTTATAAGCAGTTATGTATGCCCATAATACAATAACTAATCTAGCAGACCAATTCAATTTATAAGGATTTATAGCTTTTTCTAAAATTCATTTAATTTCACGATTTGATATCTCTACTAGACCGGTAGTCTGAGGATGATAAGTAGTAGAGAATCTATGCATAAAATCATATTTCTTAATTAATTTTTCAATTCTCTTATTCCTAAAATTAGATCCTCCATTAGTAATAATTACTCTCGACATTTCATATCTTGTAAAAATATTTTTATTTAAAAATTTAGAAACTCTCC